AAACAACACAGTGCTTTTAATACTATCCTTGACTTGCTTGCTAAATTTGGGGGATCTGGAGCTAATGCAAGATTTGGCAGTAAGGGGTGCACAGTCCACACCACCTCAGCCCCACCAAATTTGGGGCAGAAGTGAGAAAACTTTGCAACTATGGACCTCTAAGTGCCCAGAAATTGCACAGTACTGCCTACAGTATGTTCATATCAACAATACTGTACAATACAACAATTATTTAAAAAAATGCAATTTAGGGGGTTGCGATCGCACCATCTGCACCCCTTGCATCCACCCCAGGCGATGCACAACTGGAAATTTTTTCTTTCCAATTTATACACACTTAAAATTCTTAGCTCCCAACATTTGGAATATCTTGAAGAAATCTGAAAAAGTATAAACCTACATAGAGGGCGCTACACTAAATTTTATGATAGAATATTACCAATGTAGTAAATTATATATAAACACATCTAGGCCTATAATGTAATTAAATACAATGTAAAATCTAAAGACATAACATAACACTTATAGTTAACATGAATTTAATTACAAAATATAGAAAAATATGCCAAACAACCACACCATAATTGAAATACTGCACTGTAAAAATGTAACACAAATGAAATACAAACAAACCTAAAGTAAAAGCATTAAATATTGGTGGCCATAAATAATTTTTAACATTTACTTTGGAGACAACTCATATTGCATTTTATAACAGGGATGTCCTACCAGCTACGTCATTATCTAGTTTATGATAAGGTCTACATGGAGATCCAATCATGACAAAACTACTGCTATTGGCTAACATGAAATACACTAACACCATGTAAACTACACTAGTACACTAGTTATGCAAGACTTATTTTCATAAGATAGTATAATACATACTCCAAATATCGAAATGCACGCCATCGTGCAAGCATTTTGATACTTGCTGTATGTATTATCTGTCTCTTATCAATGTAAATACAGTGTTCGAATAAAGCACATGATAATACATCATGAAGCATAGCTCTCAACGAATGTTGTCCTATAAACAAATTGTGTAATAAAATGCCTCATGACGGGATTCGAACCTGCAACCTCCCGCTGTCAATGCGAGCATCATAACCATTGGACCACAGAGGCTTCATGGTTGAACAGATTCAAATTACTGTTGGATACACTCTATTACAAAAAAAGTACGGCTGGAAACAAATAGTTGCATATAATATAAATCAAGACAGCCATTAAGATGGTCGTATCGTCATCATAATGCTTTTAATAGAAGAATTGTACATCTTACGATCAAGGATGACCATGCCATTGCCTATGTCTGGTTCTACAATAACAATGTTACGGTTCTTTTTTAGTTTATGATCAATTTTTTTGTGTGTGTCTTTGACAGTGGGGCAACAAGAATTAACGAAATGTTGGTCAAATGTGAAAGTTTCGAACGCAGTAAACCTGCTTGTATTCGGTTCGATAGCTTCCCAACATGGTTCTATGGATCATCTCGAAACAAGTGAAGATATTTGTTTTGTCGAGATGTGATGGACAAATTGCGTGTGAAAAAATACATATCTTGAATATAACAATTAACATTTACAATATAAACAAAAATGGCATAGAAGATGATAGCCCTTTAAGCTGGAATGCTTGTTTCAGAAGGGGTCCCCAACTAAACATCAGCATGAAAAAAACAATGCAAAGGAAGAACATAAAACATTAAAAAATATATATATATAAAAATATTAATAAATTAAAAATATAAAAGCTATACTATACATATTATATATCTTATTATTTAATTACATTATTTACACAAATTGTCATTTTTATTTATATAGGCCTATTACAAAATTTTCCAATTATCAGATAAATTCAAAAATTTCCATCCTATCCATTAAATGCTTTTTCAGGGCCCTTTTAAATATCTTATGGTCCGATAACTGTTTTTAACTGTTCCAAAAAATATTGCATTATAAAAAATGTTTTGCTAATGAGGTAACAGTTTTTGGGACAAATAAAATTTATAGTTGAATTCTTCGTAATATTTACATTTAAATTTCTTTCAAAATGTAATTGCATATATTCCGGTGAAATAAAATAAGATATTTTGTGAAAGTGATTTAAAGACATCTGTTCGGCTCCTGTGGAAAAATTAACTAAATTCAAATAAATATAGGCCTAATCATCTTTTTTAATGTGATACCTATTACCTTTCAATAATATAAATCTGATAATTTTATTTATGTTGCTTGGAGTTTCATTTTTGATTTTGCATTGATGCTCCAATACCATGATGAAATTGCATAGTTCATTAACAAACCGCAGCGCCACGATTTTGCGCACTGAAAGAATCAGACCAAGCCTTCTACATTCCCTATAAGCAAACTTTAAACGACCAGTGACTGTTCTTTAAAGGCACTATCAAGTCTCCACTCTGTGTGCTTCAAACAAGCATAAGCGCGTTTTAGGGGTTACCCCACTCAGATCTAAAATTAAACCCTGTAAACAGAAATATTAAAATTAAA